GAAGAAAACACTGTAGGACTCATTAATCTAAATGAAGATGTTTTAGGGCCACTAGTTGACACATGAGTCAGCATAAATGATGTATTTAGAAAGTTTTGTGTGGAGGGATTTTATTATTTACTTATTTATTTATTTATTTTTGAGGAAAGGGTGGGCTGGGAAGGAAATCATCTGTTTTTCTTTGAAAATGAGAAATTAATAGGAAAAATCTTTTTTATCATATAAATTTAGATGATACTCTATTTGAGCTCATGCTAGATCTTGAGGCAATAGAAGTAATATTTTTATTAGGTTTTAAGAACTATTTGCAAGAGACGGAGTACAAAGCAGAGAAGCATCATTTACTGATACTGCCAAAGATGTCACAAACTAATAACCATAATTAACATTTTCAGAGCAATTTGGAACTTATAAAGGCATCCTTTGAAATCAAATATTGTTTCATTGGATAATGTGAATCAGGAATTATATCCACTTCTATGTATTCCAATCCACCCGTTGTGAGAAAGATTCAGTGAGAGGTGGAAACTGTTCTGTCATCCAGAGCTTCTGATTCTGGCACCTTCTTGCCTGCCACTGAATATGACTGTTACCCCCATATAGTCAAACAAACTGAAAGAGGTAAATACTTCTTGGCCCTCAACTTTTGAAAGTCCCCCATTGTGTCCTGGCATTTTCACATCCTACCAGTTTATTCAATAACCTTTTTTTATAGGCTCTGTTGTTTCATCAAGAAATGATCCCTTGGTGTGTGTTAAATATGTGTTAAGGGGCAGTGAGGAGGAGACACAGTGGTTCTATTTTTTCAGAAATTTCCCCTTTCTTCTCCAGCCTATTATGGAGGGGTCTGAAAATGCAGTTCTGGGAAAGACTGCTTCATCTCTCAGTTTCCAAAAGTACCAAAGAAATGTGCAAAAATGAAAAAAAAATTAAAGTCCTGGGTTTGAGTAAATTTAAGCAAATACATATTTCTTCATTTGTACCTCTTTTAGAGAATGGTTTCATCAAATGTAATAGTATCGATGAGAGTACATTATAACATTTGAAGCGTTTATAATGGCCACCACCACTGTTACCACCCTGCCCAAATGCCTCACTAGATATTATAAAGATAACTAAACAAGTGTTCTCTTGCCAGCCAGCTCCAGTCAATCAGGAGTGGCTTCCTGGGGCTGTGTGCTGAGAAAGACTCTGAGTCTGCACACTAGCACTGAGGGAAAATACAGTAACATCTAATATGTCTTATGTGAAGACATGAGGAGTGGAGAATGATCACATAGGTGTCAGATACTGGCCATCTCAGGGATAGAGAGATGGTGAAATGTGATAGATCTTTGGGTCATTATTGACACGTTAGCTCTTATCACAAACTAAGAGACCAGCCTCACTATCTATCTTTGTAGAATATACTGACCCAGAATATAACCACAAGTAAAAAATAAATAAAATTTTAGTGAGCTAGAATAAACAACCTAGAAATTTTTTTAAATGAGCTTTATCTCACAATCCATAGTCTTCTTCCAACAACTTTTCCTTAAATTTTCAAAGTTAAGGTTTTCACATAATTTGAGTCAGAACGAAATGAAGGGATTGTTTTTGCTTGGATAGCTTCTCACCATCCTTAATCTTCTATTCCCGAAATTAAACTCTAATAAAGCTTGTTCAAAATACTCATTTTTCAAAATCCCCAGACTAAAGGAATCAAAATAGCATTAAAAATACTTGTGCTTCCTAACCCTCTTTTCTCAGACTAGAGATAGGGCTACCAACAGAATGATCAGCAAGAAGGAAGGTCCAGCAAAATTATGGGTGCAATACAAGACCTACACCCAAACCTTCAAACTCACTGCTCTTATTAACAACACATCTAATGGGGGAAAATAGGAGAGCAACAGAGGAGTACCAACTTCACCCCAGAGTTACGGCCTGCCTCTTAAAAAAGTAATTCAAGAGATTAATTCACTACTGAGGTGAAACTCTTAATTATTTTTTCTCCCTCACTATCTTTTGCTATCCAAAAGAACTTTCAGAAGGTTTATGTATAGTTGTCAGATTTGGAGCTGTACTCTTACAGTACGAAATTAAATTGCAATACAACCTCTCCCCCACATCACCACTGCAAATGCTTGAAATTTTGTTCTTACAAAAGGATATTCCTTTTAAATATGTTTTTCTCCAATGTGACTTGTTGCAAGGAATTTCTTTAGTGAGAAAAGCCACCTAACTGTTCCTTTCCCTGCCTTTGGAAATGTCTTTGCTAATAGAGATGCTTGAAATGACCTTGGTGTCAAGCTGCACCTGCTGGCCAATGAAAATTACCTTTGACCTAGATCTCAGAAAAGGAAGATGCATTGAGCTTGAATTAATTTCCGAGGTAACGATACACATTCCAGAGACTTGAGCAAATGTGTTTATGGAAGATCTAAAAGAGCCACTCAACTCAGCCCAAGTTCAAACATGTTCATCTTACATTATCAAGCTCTGGCCTTTCCTTTGAAAATATGAACCGAAATTCAATTCCTGTGCAAATTAATTATAAACATTTAGGACTACCAGAATTTCTCAACCAACCACATTTTGAAGTATGAAGTAAAGTAGAAATAGGAATCTTTACAAATACTGACATGATCAGGGTACTTATTTTTAAACTCCAGATTGAGAATGTTGCTACCTTGCTGAACAGATCTATTGATTGAATCAAACTTTTTATACAAATGTATAGCAGTTGCAAATATAGGGGTGCCTGGGTGTCTCAGTGGATTAAACCCTCTGCCCTGGGCTCAGGTTGTGATCCCAGATTCCTGGGATGGAGCACCACATCGGGCTCTCTGCTCAGCAGGGAGCCTGCTTCCCTTCCTCTCTCTCTGCCTGCCTCTCTGCCTACTTGTGATCTCTGTCAAGTAAATAAATAAAATCTTTAAAAAAAAAAAAAAGAAGAAGTTGCAAATATATTTCCACAAGGAATTTACAATGGAGATGGAGAGATGAGTCTATCACACCTGAAACAATTAGGGAATAATATAAGTCAATATAATTAAGTATACTCAGAAGGTAACTTTATAGGGAATGAGAAGAGTAGAAGACAAAATATCAAAGTCTTCGTGGAATTGGGAGAAATATAGAAAGATTATTATGATTTGAATAAGTAGAAAGGCAAGGAAAAGGGGAGATGAGAGGCCATTTGCTGAGGTTACTACCCAAAGCTATAATCTTTTTAAGTTGAATTTTATTGATTCTAAGACAATAAAAAGACCTTAAATTCCTAAGATTGTATTTTACATTTTAATGTCTCAGAAACTAGGATGCAAATTCCAATCAATGACATGTCATAGTCTAACTGGCATTGATTTTCTATCATAATGGTACCATTACGGTCCTCAGTGGTTTGTCCTTTAGTTGATAATATCTTCTATCCAAAGATACAGAGAATGTATAAACACGTCTTACAACCTAAATCACAGAAGCAGTGAAGATTGAGCTGATCTTTTGAATAACACTGTAAGGCTACATGATCCTGGTTTGTGATTTATTTTTCTTTTACTCTATTACATTCAAGCCTGATTTCAGTGCCTATAACAAGGAGGAATGTGTTAGTTATCAGCTTATTGCCTCTCAATTCCAAACCCACCCTTCTCTGCTTGCTTGTGATACTGAAACATTTCTCCCTTGCCAGTTGGCACAATACTGATTTTTTTCAATAGCGGACACATGAGGGAGTCTGGAGAAAGTTTTTTCCTCCAGGTTCTGGTGTGTTAATTGTTTCTGCTCCTGTTGCACTAGGCTGGTAGTCAGGATGCCCCGTGAAATCTACTCCTAATTATTCTCCCACAAGCAGCTACCAGCAGAAGAACTGTTTACAGGTCCCCCAGCTGGCTCTCTGAAAGTGGATTCTATGGGATGTATAGTCTGGTTGTATAGTCTCTTCCTGGTGACAGAATCGTGATGATGGCTTCCCAGTAAATTCAATACCTTCCTCCTCCCCTGGGAAGCTTCCTGGTGAATATCATTGACATCTCAGCAGACAGTTTTCTTCTTTGGGATTAAAATGGATCCCATACACCAACAGGGAAAACTTGATAGAATTCTCAGTCAGCTTTCTCAGTTAAAGCACACCAGTGAGAGCGAAGTTAAGTGTGTGTTTGGGTTGGGATTGGGGTTGTAAGATTAAGGAATAGAATGAGTTGACTAGAAAAAGGAAGAAGTTAATGAAGGGATATATATGCATGATTGTCAAGGTGATTCTAATGATCTTAAAACAACTAGAAAGCCCTTCTCTCACAACCTCTGTGCTCAGGGATGAACCTCATTATCAGGGCAATCATTGTCTTTCAGGCATGATCCTACACAAAAGCCCTCCTGATACATTCAGCTACAACATTAAAGATCCTTCCACCACTGGCAAATTTTTTCAGCATGCCAAGAAACATTCAGATGTTTCCCCCCCAAAACCAGGTATTTAACATTGGAGACATAAAACAGTTGCCTGACAGTTGATTTAATGTTTCTTTCTTTTTTTTTAATCCAGATGTTTTAGTATCTCATACACACTTTCTAACTACTTTGGTGCAATATTTTTTTGTACAGCATGGCATTTTGAAGGTTGTATTGTCTTCACATTGAAAAGGACAATAAATACGAGAGCAAGAAGAGAAATTATTTTCATTTCCAACTGAAAAATATAATGAGCAGATTCACGGCTTTAAAGGGAAAGAGAGGATTAGCACAAGTAAATTACTATCCAAACTTCATTTTTAAAAAGTCATTTTCCTCCACACTTAAGACTTTAACTTTCCCTTGTATTTGCAGACTAGAATGTAAGTTAGCTAACCTTCAGCTGCGTGACTTTACAAGGCACTCCAAAGCATTAGTTTACTTTCATAAAACAGCCCCATCCTTATTTATCACTTTAAAAATAATATATAAATTAAGTCTGAAGTTCCTTAAAATTCTAAACCTCACCCTAACAGAGAACACTCTTTAATCCTAAAAATAAAACTATTCAGTGTGTTTCCAAGGTCTGTGGCCCATCATGGCCATGGGATCTCCAACCGCATGTGAGAGCAGCCTGGAGAGACTTTGATAGCACAAGTGAGCATAATTCTTCTCAACTGCCACTCACCTTGCCTAGAAGAGCTCAGGACGTAGGCTGGAACCCATCTACCTGAGTCCAGCTATTTCCATAAACTTACAAGTAGATGGGTGTATTAGAGCAAATTTTTGGTTTAGAGCAATCAATCAATAAAACAAAATTTTATTTTACTCACATTATCCTCCTTTAAATGGATAGTTGACTTAGTCATGAATTGCCTTGCGTCTGTCCGATGCATTTTTTTTTTTTTTTCATTTCCTGGGTGAATTTTTTTGTAAATAGAACTTGTGTCAGGATATCATCTCTGGCCCTTTCATATCCTTATTCTCTTTATTTCCCTTTATTTCTTGAATCCAAAGATAGAAGAACTCAAAAAAAGACATATGAGTTGGAGCAAAAGATTTGCATATATTAAACAAGAAGGTATCATTCAGATATTCTCAAGATAAACTCAGGATGGTTATTTTATCCATTCTCGTGGGGACCATTTTCAGCCCAGAACCAAGGACAAGAGCAGAAGCTCTAACTCTGGTTTTATTGTGTTCAGTGTGTTTTGGGGGAACTAAAGCAGCAAAATGTAGGCTCATCTTCCACAGCTGGAGGTGACTGGAGAAATGAGTCAAAATCCAGAAATCCATCTTACTTACTTACACACACACACACACAAACACACACCACTTGGTACATATATTCATAAGGGTATTCACAGATAAAATTCCATTTAGACCTATACTACATTATCAGTCTTGCCAACACTGTGATATACACATCACGATGCTCAACAAAAGCATATGAGGACAAGAACACCCTTTTCCACTGCCTTCCCTAACAAGAACAATGCCGGTTATTCTCTGAATGTGAGCTGTGGAAAAGATAACACCCATCCGTCTGCTGCACTAGTGAATGAATGTGTTGCCATCACAGAACATAACAATGGGAAAGAAACTTAGAGAACACCTAATTTCTCCATGAAAGCTGGAAAATTAAAGATAAATGGGAGTGGATGACTTTCCCAAGGACTCCCCAGGAAGTCAGTGGCAGAAAAAGCAGCAGAATGTCTCTAGCCCATGACTCTTTTGTAGCACATAGTACCTTGGCTCACTAGCTTTTAGTTGAAACTAAAAATGTGCTCTATCTTCCTTAAGTAATGTTAATATCATCCAAGGATTTCCTCCTACCTTATTAAGATAAATCTCAAAAAATATTATTTTTTCCAACAATTTAGATTTACTTTGATTTAGATTTCCTGATCACCAAAAAGGAAATGATAAGGTGTGCTCATACTTCTCAGTGGAGGAGGAGGAAAGATGCAATGTGGTCAATGACTTCTGATGGTAAGAAATACGAACAAGTTTGAGATTACAGTTGTAGAGTTCCTGGAAACTCCCAGGTCATCGCTTCTGAACCTGCTTATCTACTGAAGTAGGAATCTTGGAGATATCTAGTCGGTGCCAGAGTCAGAATTCTTTCTTATAGGCAGAGAGATTTGCAGGAATCAGGAGGGTCATGAGGCAGCAATATGTGTTACAGCCCTGTATCATTGAGCAATTGAGACAGTATATATACTAGGTGTACACAAATATAGCTAAAATAGGGCAGCAGAGTGGGGGTATGTCCTAAGCACATTTCACTGTAGAAAGGCCCTCCCTCTCCCCCCCAACCCTAACTCCCCGCAATACACAAAAAGATGCACATACGTATACACAAACACTATTGCATTTAACTCACAATAACAAATCTTTTAACATGGATTAATGTTAGAGAGACTGAACAACCTAACAAATTGAACACACCCACGAAGCAAACAAGAATACTTCAGAATTCTCCACTGATCCCCAATTCATTATCAGGGACTTAACAATGACCTTAAAGCACATTTGCTGGCACACCCAAACTTCTGTTTATGGAGTCTTCTCTCCTTCATCCTTTTAGTCTAAACCAGAGTGTGTCAAATGTTAGTACACATAAAAATTATTTGTTATAAACTTTAAAAATGTATTATAAATATAAAACTATGTATACCATACTTTATAGAAAAATTTAAGATTTTCAAGGGCAATTTTGACCACATGCAATTTTTGTTTTACACTTTAGACTTCAAAATCTGTGCTCCAAATAAAATACAATTCCATCACCTCTGCAGGTGGAACCAGGGCTGGAAATGTGCAGGCATGACGTGGGAGTCTTACTATCCAGGTCGAGGTGTCCACATTTTGCCCACAATGTTGAGGAAATCATGAAGACTGTTGCACAAGCAAGTGACATGGCAAAATGTGTTTAAGAAAATTAATCTGGTGACTTTGAAAGAGAGGTACTGGAAGAGTAAAGTTGAGGGGTAGGCTGGAAGGTTACCAGCGTGCAGATCATTTCACTGGGATGGGCATGAGATAAAGAGGCCCAAAATGGGGACAGTTGTAGAAATGTACAAGAAGCAAGCAGCATTGCACAGGAAGATCCTGATATCTGACTGGATATGAATGGAAGTATCAATAATGTACCATAGTTATTAAAAGCAATGACTTTTACAGATCAGGATCAAATTCCAATTCCCACCACCATTTACCTATGTGATCACAAACTTTGACTCAAACTCCCTCTGACGATTCAGCATCACCAGGCCATTGGCTGTCCAGACATTTGGGTTGTCTATGAGAGGGTCCCTGGATGAGATTAATACTTGAAACTGTAGACTCGGGAAAGATATTGCTTTCCTTAATGGATTGTGCCTCATCCAATCAATCTGAGGCCTGAAAAGAACAAAAAGGCCAAGTAAGAGTGAACTTTTCCTGCCTGACAGCCTTGAGCTTGTTTATTACCCCAGCCTTGAGATCTGAAATGTAACACCAGCTCTTCTCAGGTCTTCAGTCTGCTAGTTTTCAGACGATAACTACATATCAGCATTCCTGGGTCTCCAGCTTGCCAGCGGCAGATTTTAGGACTTCTCAGCCTCCATAGTCACATAAGCCAATTCCTTATAATAAAGATATTATATATATTACATTATACATATATATATGTGTGTGTGTGTGTGTGTGTATATCCCATATGTATATATATATATTTATATATCCCATTATATATATAAATATATATTATATTTATTATATATATAATATACATAATCCCATATATAAGTTATATATAATTAAATATTAATATATATAAAATTAAATATATATAATTATATATAATTAAATATTAATGTATATAAAATTAAATATATATATAAATTATATATATGTATAATCCCATATATAAATTTAATTTGTTCTGTTTCTCTAGAGAACCTTGGCTGATACACTCACTAAGCTACATTTTCTTTATATGTACAACAGGCTCTATAAATTTACTCACAACGTTAATAAGAGGATTAAAAGGAAGCAAGGTTGGGGTGTCTATGTGGTGCATTCAGTTGAGCACCCAACTCTCAATTCTGTCTCAGGTCATGATTTCAGTTGTAAGTTTGAGCCCCACATCAGGCTCCATGCTGAGCACAGTCTCCTTGAGTTTCTCTTTCTCGCTCTCTCTCTGTCCCTCCCCCATGCTTGCACACACTCTCTCTCCCTCTCTCTCTCACTCTCTCTGAAATAAATAAATAAATCTTTTTTAAAAATGAAGTAAGGTAGGTTAGGGTAGCATTAAAAAAATGTGAATGGTGAAAACAGAGCTTTTGAAAAATTATGCGGGTGGAAGTGATGTGGAGTTACTTTAATGTATAGGTTTCTTATGTAGTAAACAACTCCTAAGAGTATGTGGGGTTTAGGGGAGAGAAGAGCAATTCAGGTGTGTGGCAAGCATTTCCATGTACCTGTGACTGTGCCCTGAAGCATGCTTCAGGTTAAGAAGGTCTTCAAGATAATTACAGAAGGGTAGGAGGAAATAGCTTATGATTATGTAGTTGCCTTACAAATCAAACTGTCGGTGAATCCTGAAGCTTCTGGAAGGGGTACCACTGCCTAAGAGTGACCTCAGTACAACAGAGTAGCTGTTGTGTCCCATCTACTGCCATGGATGGACTTGAGATCAAAATACAGTACTCAGTACCAAGCATACTTTTGTACATGCCAAACCTCCTTTTTGCTGTAAAACTCCACCTTGAGAGACCTTCCATGAAATTCCCTAGTGAAGAAGGAGATCTCTTGATGCTTCCCTTACTTGGTGTCAGGGAGACATGAAGAACTACCTCGGATCCTCGCTTCCATTGGGATTCCCCATTATCTTTGACATCACCTATCTGCTTTTACTCTATAATTACACTGGGGACCTCTACTAGTATCTCCCAGGTTCTACACAAGGGACTCTCTATTATTCTTAGATTTCCACAGTATATCTAGAGAGTCTTCTCATGCTCTTCCCCAAAGACTTGGCTGACTGGTAGACTCAGGGTCCCTACACCAAGGATATTCACCCCTATTCAGCCTACTGCTCTCGCCACCATGCCTCCTCCTTTCCCCAGCCCCCAGAGGCTTTACCAAGTCAATGGTAACGAAAAGTATTACTTTCACGGGTATTATTTCTCCCCAGTGCTGGTACTACACACATATCACACATTTTCTCAATTGATTCCTCTGGGGCTTTCATCTTGATCCTCCAAACCAAGCTTTGCAAAATTATAAAGCTCAGGGGGTCTGAGTGTCTCAGTTGGGTTAAGCACCCAACTCTCGGCTTCAGCCCAGGTTGTGATCTCAGGGTCCTGAGATCAAGTACTGCATCAGGCTCTGCACACAGTACAGAGTCTACTTGAAATCCTCTCTCTTTGTCCCCCTCTACCCCTCCCACTCATGCTCTCTCTCTTTCTAAAATAAAATAAATAACTCTTCTTTAAAAAGTTACAAAGTTCTCCTAAAATACCCAATCCGTAAAAATCAGATGCCCTGGCACTCAAGACCATTTCTTCAGCTTTAAAATATTAGAGTTTATCATTTTCTTGCTTCTCACACCTTGCATTTTCTGTAATAGCATTCTGCTGAGGATAGCGGCTCTCCCTGTTACTTGATCAGAGTACAGATAACACAAAGGCTAGGAAAACCGTGGAGTTTACTA